ATTAGGTACACTAGAAACTGTTCTGTTTTGTATTTTATTTTATTTTAGGGGTGGGTACCAGGGATCTAACTCGGGATCTTGTACCTGCAGGCGGCAGAATCACTGAGCTAAATCCCTGGCCCTTGTTTTTTATAATTTAAGGATAGGGTTCTTTTTAAAAGAAATTTTGGAACAACTGTCTAGATAACCATTATATTCTAAGATTAAGCTATTGATTGAGTTTTGCCAGAGACTCCCAATGACCAGTGTTTAAATATTTAGCTTATAGGTAATGTTTGTCTTCCTTCTGTGACAGAAGCACAACAGCCAGAGTCAAATTGCTTCTCATGTTATTCATAAAATGTATATTGCAGGAAAATGTGTTACCCAGCCCAGACCAAGCCCTTTTAGTGCTACTTTTATTTATTTATATTTATTTATTTGGGGTTTTTTTGGCGCAGGGGATTGAACTCAGGTCCTTGCGCTTGCGCAGCAGGTGGTGAAACCACTGAGCTAAATCTCTGGCCCTAGTGCTACTTTTTTTTTTTTTTTTGTTACCGGGGATCAAACTTGGGTCTTTGCGCCCTAGTGCTACTTTTAAAAAGGCATGCCTTGGGCCAGGGATTTAGCTCAGTGGTTTCGCTGCCTGCTGCGCAAGCTCAAGGACCCGAGTTCAATCCTCAGTACAAAAAAAAAAAGGCATGCCTTGATTCTTTAATAGGTTTTCCAGAAATGTTCTCAAGATTCTCCTTAAAATCTCTATTCTTCCCTAGAAGAATAGAGCTCATCATTAGCTTCATATAACTTCCTTTCTGAAGTTCTTTTGCTTTACTCAAGGCCCCTCTTGTGTTGTTGACAGTCTCCACATTTCCCTTTTGTACCTGGATGTGAAGGTGCTGCTCCATTCCTTTCTGGGGAGGAGGCTTCAGATGCCCATTCTGATTCAGGGGTTTTGTGTGTGTGTGTGTATGTATGTATGTATGTTTTATTGAACCTATGGCCTTTGGACTGAGCTACATCCCCCATTTTTTATTTTGAGACAGTCTCATTAATTTGCTAAATTGCCCAGGCTGGGCTTGAACTTGCAGCCTGCCTCTGCATCCCATAGTGTTGGATTTACAGGCATGAGCCACCGTGCCTGGCTAAGGTCTTATAAAATGCTAATTTAATTCAATTTTAATTTTTCTGATGGCTGATAGAGTCATTGTACGTAATTAGACTTTCTTTGAAATTAAAGGAAACTCACCGTCTCCTTTTTAAATGTTTCAGGGTTAAAACATTGGCACGAACCCTCTTGCCCTATGCTCTCCAACCTTACTCCAGATTAAAATGAGAATAAAAGCAGTATTTGGTGAAAAGTCTTTTTTTCATTAGTGACAAAAAAGCAAGAGAATGACACAGTAAGTCCTGTGACTTTTAAATATGCCTCCAGTTGGCTGCCAGTTCCTCATTTCATTCTCATCTGATGGGAGACAAAGGCAATAAATCATTATTATAAGGTGTAACTTGAGAAGGACTGTGTGGGAACACTCTGGAGAAGCACTCAACTTGGGCTTTGGTCAGTGGAAGCTTTCAGAAGGAATTGATATCTCATCCAAAGAATGGATAGGAATTGGAATTATATTCCAGGTAAATTAGAGCATGGTATATATCTGAATGACCAGAATGTATGTGAATGAATCACAGCATGGAAGATGGTATAGTGACCATTGTCATTACAGTAATGCGAATATCTGAGTTCTCTCAGAGAGTGTATGTAGAATAAGAGAAGGAAGCCTCGGTAGAAAAGCTAAAACCCCAAAGAGATGAAATATAGTTCTTCAATTAAGAGTATCCCCTGCCCTCCAAGCATGGTGGAATGATGTTTATTTTTTGGAGTTAGGTTGAGTAGTTTTTGGTAGGATCGCTGAAACCTTTGTCATATCATTTAGAAATTAAAATGGTCTTGAAATACCTCCAGCAATACCAGCAGTGTGCCCCCTGCATTGCATATTTCATCCTTTCCTTAGACAGGGATTGGAGTAGTCAAGGAAATGTAATATAAACTCCTTTGTATAATTTTTACTTACTATTGACTCCTATTATGTTATTAATAACTCTTTTAAGGCCCTGCATGACAAAGGGGATTGTTCTGAATTACTTTACCTCAGTTTATAAACCCTCTGAAAAAAGTGTTATAGTCATTCCTATCCATTCCAAGGATGAAGTTCATAAAGGGTTTGTGTAGATAAACAGTAGTCTGTCTACACTGGAGAAAGGTGCAGTTTTCGTGCTTATGTTACAGGTTCTTTTTTGTTTTGCTTTGGGTTTCTTTTCTTCTTTTTTTTGGAGACAAAGTCTCACTATGTAGTTCAGGCTGACCTTGAACTCACAATCCTGTTTTACAGATCAGTAAGCTCTACTTTCATCAAGTTCAAGGTTGTATATGTGTGTATGTATAATAATCCCTATTATATTTTAAATGATTAGACCCCTAAACTTGCTATTTCGCGGGTAGTTTTTTAAATGAAGGGATATATTGACTTAAAAGTGGTCTGTTTAGTATAACCTAAAAGGTTTAATAAATAACTGCTTCTGAATTGCCCCCTCTTGATTAATGAAGCATAAACTTGTATTTTCCACAGTAAGAAGAAAGACAAATTGATTTTTAGGGTACTTTGGCAAAAACAGAATTAACAGATTCAGGGTGTAAGGGTTGCATTATTCTTAAAGTGAATTTTCCTATCTAACTGTAATTATCTCAGAAGTCAATTAATGGACTTGGTTCTGTATAACTTTCACAGTAAATCCCTCTGCCCAAACTGAGGAGACTCCTGGAGATTCATGAGTAGTACAGGTTTACGCTTTTACGAGCTCACCGAGCTTTACCTTTGGGCTTCAGATTCCAGATATTTGTGGAACAGATGAGTAGAAACATCCCAAAATATGGCTAGGAACAATTTATTTAGAAACATTTTCCTGAAGTAGGCAGCTGAGTTTGTTTAGAGAGATGTTCTCTAAATTTATGGGTTTAGTATTTAGAGACATTTTCTTAAAGTCCTTGAGAGCCTAAGGGATTTGTGGAGACTTTCCAGATTAAAGCATTAATTATGGGGTCAGTTCAATTTTTGTTTCAGTTTTAGATACCTGTGTCTCAGATCCTAATTTTTTTTTCTCAGTATTGGGGATTGAACTCAGGACCTTGTGCTTGTAAGGCAGGCATCGTACTGCTGAACTGAATCCCCGGCCCTAGATCTTAATGTTTTGATCTCGAGATTGTCAGTAACTCATTAGACTTTTTAAGTTCTTTTGTGAATGATTGCCCTGAATGAATTATACTTTATTTCTATAAATAGTAATCTTCATACCTGATCAGTTTTTGTTGAGCTCCCCCTCTCTCCCATTATTAGTGGACTATGGTAATTAATTTTATTTGTTGAATAGGAGTGTTAGGGAAGAGGTAAGAAAAGAGACTCTGACCAGGTTTGATAGTGACTGTATGAATTTATTGTCACTTACATTTAACTTTTTTTTCTGGTACCAGGGATTGAACTCAGGCCTTGCACATGAGTCCTTTTCTTTTTCCCCTAATAGTCCATCAAAATGTAGGCAGATTGAATTAAGTGGCATTGTACCTACCTAACCAGGAGATAATTGAACAACAAATTACATAAAAAATACATAGTGAACATACAACCAGATCACCACCACCACTGTCTTTAGTTACTTTCATGTCACTGAGACACGATACCCAACACCTGTAGGTTAAAGGAGGAAAAGTTTATTTAGATCATAGTTTGTAGAGGTTTCAGTCCTTAGTTAACTGGCTCCACTGCAGGATGGCATAGCAGAGTAGAGGAGAAAGAAAGATCTCATGACACGGCAGGCAGGCAGCAGGAAGAGATCAAGGGAGTAGAAGGGATGTATAATACATCTATATATATATATGTATATATATATCCAGGCCAGGCCCACAGTGACCCATGTCTTCCCACTAGGCTTCAGCTCCCAACCTCACACCCAGTTATAAACCTATCAGTGGATTAAGTCAGTGATGAGTGTCACACAGCCATGATCCAGTCACCTAACCAAAGCTTAACCTATGAATGCATGAGGGTTCGGGGACATTTTAGATATAAACCATAGCAAGCCCCCCCCCCCATTCATCTGTATTTATGTACTGACAGCACACCTGAATCAAAATGTCTCAGTGGTACCCAAAGGAAGAATACTGGGTTAAATTCCTTTGTCTGTTTTTAATCTTGATTATTAACGTGTTTTATAGAAAGAATCACATCTGTTTTATGAAAACAAGCTTTTAATGTACTTCATATTTAGCAGTTTACTCTTACTAAGGCATTTCCAGGGACATAGCTAGCTGTACCTGGGGTAACAACCCTTGTCTTTTTTCTTTCAACTACCATTTATGAGGGTGTCCCTTTCCCACTTTGAGTGTTACCTAGCCAAATCTCAATTTAATTCCTGGACCTCTGAAGAACTGCTAATTTATATACCTTGCCAAGAGGTATATAATACAAATGTACTAAGCTTAGCCTAGAAATTCTAAAAATAGGACTGAAATAATTTTATAAAGCATTCTGGTTTGAGTTGTATAATGCACATTTTATTGTTTTGTGACAGGGCTTTTTGTGTAGTTCAGGCTGGCCTTGAACTCGTGATATGACTGAGGCTAGCATCTAACTTGAAGCTCTCCTCCTGCCTCAGCTTCTCAAGTGCTGAGATTACAGACATGCACCACATTGCCTGGTTTTAAACAAAAATTTTTGTCTCTTGGCTCCTCTTATTTTGGCAGAACTTTCAATTCAAATTGTCAAGATAATGTGGAACCTAAGAATTGAAGGGGCAAGGGAAGGGTCATGAACAAATCCACATAGGGCTCCTTTGCCCCCATATTTTCCAATTTGGGGCTAAAAAAGCTTTACTATTTTTTTCAGTGTTAACTCGAGCACTAAATAGCTGTAGAATATCATTAAGCTTCCTGGTAAATTATTGAAATGTGTATCTGTTTACTTTTTATCCAGGCTGGACGTAAAGAAAGAAGTGATGCACTCAATTCTGCAATAGATAAAATGACAAAGAAGACCAGGGACTTGCGTAGACAGGTAAGTTGGAAGAAAGTACTGATTGCTTTTCTAAGTTCTCAGTTTTATAGTTTTAATATCCTAATAAGTACTAGACTTGCTTTAGTTGGGGGAAAGACTAGATTTTCACAGAAAACTGGCTATCTCTATTTTGTTGCTAAAAAGCTCAATGGCTAAAAATTTCATAGGGACATGGGATAACACAATCTCACCAGGGTGCTTTAGTGTGAAAGGATTTATAAGGAGGAAATTCAATTTAAAATGACTTGAGGACCTGTGAAAATAACCTTGAAGGATTTTGTTATGTTGGCTCACATATAGTAGAGACAGAAATTCTATAATTATTTATTTGACTTACCTCATTTTTATTACATACTTGTAGTTCCTTAGACCATGGGTGGAGTTGTGCTTCCAGTTTAAGTATGATCAGTATAGAGATATCTGTGGTGCTGTATTTTTCCATGTTTGTAAAGGTAAAGAATTTGTTCTTGATGTTAAAAAAAAAAATCCCATTAAAAATTTTAAATCATGGGGATTTAGCTCAGTGGTTCCGCCGCCTGCCCCACAAGCGCAAGGTCCTGAGTTCAATCCCTGGTACAAAAAAAAAAAAAGATACATTAAAAAAGTTTTTTTTAAAAAATTGAGTTTTAGTCATTAAAGAAGTTAAGGGTAGGGCTCAGGATTTAGCTCAGTGGTTCCGGCGCCTGCCTTGAAATCACAAGGTCCCGAGTTCGATCCTCAGGTCCCCCCCCCCGCCAAATTAGAGTTGAATTTATAAAACAACGTATTATGACATAAAAAGTATAATAGTAATTCAGAAAATATTCAGGAATCTTATCAAGAGACATTTTATCCCTCATGTCTCATATAAAGGAAAATTAAATTAAAGGTTAACATATCTTTATTTAATTTCCTTTTGGTGAAGCAGTATTAAAAAATGTTTAGAAAGGTGGGGCTGAGAATGTAGCTCAGTAGTAGCATAAGTGCTTAACATGTATGAGCCCTTGAGTTCAATCTCCAGCACCTCCGCAAAAGTTTATGAAGATAACCTTTTAAATTTTAAGGTTTATGGTTTGAACCCTGAACCTCTTTAGATAAACTTGCAAAAAATGCTCTTTTCTCATTGCTTTTTGTTCAGCTTTGTTATTATCCCTTTAAGATATAAGCCTTAGTTTTGTAATTTGCACAGAAAAGGATATTGTTTTGAAAACTGAGATTGTATTGCTGAAATGCTCTTAACTGTTGTGCAAAACATAACCTCCATGATCCTATGTTTCCTGTGTTATAGGTCATGTAATTACATTGCTTATATGAGAGCTCCTCGTGTAAGTGCAGCTAATCTATTGTAGATTTCCATTAGATGTAAAAGTACAAGAGAATAAAGCAGGCTAGCTTCTTGGTAGAAATAAAATCAAATTTATACAATTTAATTATTAGCTCCGCAAAGCTGTCATGGACCACGTTTCCGATTCCTTCCTGGAAACCAACGTTCCACTTTTAGTATTGATTGAAGCTGCAAAGAATGGAAATGAGAAAGAAGTTAAGGAATATGCCCAAGTTTTTCGTGAACATGCCAACAAATTGATTGAGGTAAGTGAATTAGCAGTTTCTTTAACCGTAAGTAACCTGGTGAAGTGTGGTGAGTTTTAATCACAATTTAATCAGTTAAAATTTTTAGTGGTTCACCTGATACACAACATGTATAAAATAAGTCTTTTATCATCACCAAATGTCTGTCTAACACTACCATTTTTTGTCAGTTGACATTATGTAATGTGTTAATTTCCTATCCTAGGAACTTAACATCACCATTTAATGTTAATACAGATAAAGATAGGTCATGATACTAGACTCCGAAGACAGTATGTATATAAAGTGGTGGTGTCTAAGGGCTGGAGCTCCCAGAAGTCACACTGCCTGGGCTTTCATCTTAGCCACTTGCCTATCCCTTCTCAATTCCCATTTCTTGTTTGTAAAAATGAAACTAATGATACCTACTTCGGATTATTTTGAGGACCAAAAGAGATGATATATGTCAATAGGTGCTTAGCCTATTGCCTGAGACATAAACTCAGAGCAATCTTCTTGTTTTAAAAGTAGGGGCTGGGGATTTAGCTCAGTGGTTTCAGTGCCTGCTGCGCAAGTGCAAGGACCAGAGTTCAATCTCCGGTACCAAAAAAAAAAAGTGAAAAACATAAGCTCTGACATGTTGCTAATTAGATACATTTACATAGTAGAAATCTGTATGGAAGAGATTGGTTTGTAGGGTGAAAAGAAAATTACCATTTAATTTCCAGGTAAATTTGACTTGGCTTTTATCTTTTGCTAACTGAATTTATTTAATTTATTCATTATTGCTGCATTTTGAAAATGTGACACAAAGTAAATATATACCCAAGTTATTTGATTTTTGTAACTTTAATGCAAAACACCTAATAATGGTGAAAGTAGTGCAGATCATTTGGTAGATTGGTCATTATAAAAGGGCAGAAAATAGACCTTCATGTAAAATGTGTGTCTTGTACATTTGAATTTATAGTGACATTAGCCCAGGTTAATACCTTAAAAATATTCCAAGGAAAACATCAGTAATCACATTAAATGCATTACTAATTTTATATCTAGTTTTCTTTGAACATTAATTTAAGTGTTATTCTGACTTTAATTAATTATATACAGAATACATAGGTCAGTCCGCTATTGAGGTTAATGATTATGGCATTTGGAACTAAAATTGGAAAATTTCATTTGTGTTTCCATTAAGCATAATCTTGTTCACAGTAGTTGCATGACAGTGTAAGATATAATTACAGAATGTACAAGATTTTATGTTCAGGAAGCCAATCTTTGATAGTAGCCTGTGTATTAGAAAGTTTGACAGGAGTCAAGGACACTGTAAGCCCAAAGCCTCAAGTACCAGCACAGTAACAAATTGAGGGTGGCAGCTGAAAAGAGGGCAGCCCTCATCTGCACTAGAGTTGGAGGGCCCTTTATTAGGGCCAGTTGTGTCATTCTCAGCCTCTTCAACCAGCCCAGTGGAGCTGACACAGTTGCTGATACCAGTACTGTATACTTCCTACAACATTTCTTAAGGAAATTGAGGTTTAGAGAAGTTAAGTATTTGCCTAAGCCCATTTGACTTGCAACCCTCCAACAATGAAGGCATTCACCCAAGCTCAGTGGCTTAGTGGATATCCTGACACCCACTGAGAGTGGGTGAAATGGTTCAGGAGGTTTTTCCAAGTTTATTTTTTATTTCATTTTGAACATCACTAACTAGCTGCACACTTAGATATTAGTGTGGTGTTCCCACCACAGTTAAATTTCTAACCTTGTTCTCACCTTTATCTCTCTCCATGCCTTCCACCCACAATCTTATTGATGAGTTAAATAATACCTGGCTTTTCATCTCTTGAGGTATAACTATAGGCTTTGTAGTGCCATTCTGAAACAGTTAAATTACATTTATGATAATAAACTCAGTAAGATATATAATTGCATATGTCCATGAAAAGGAAATGAGTTTTTAAAGTGTTGGAGAAGCCACAAATTCTGACTCAAGGCAGAGCTTTATTCTTCAATGACAAGGCTTCTCCTCCCCATACCACTTTTGTATTATAATGAAACATTCTGAACTAGTCAGAAACTTGTTTTAAGCAAAGGTAAAATACTTAATTGTTAGTTTTTGTTAATGTCTTGATTTAATTTCTTTTAATTAGTTCTCTCCTAATTAGAGTAAATGTCTACAGGCCAACTTTAGTTTGAGCCCCATTTTCCTTGGGGGTCCAGGGGAGGTAAGAAAGCTATATAAAAACCGGGCAGGGCTGGTAAGAATAATCCTCTGGCAGGAAAAAAAGGCTCGATCCTCTAACCACTGAGAGTTGTAGCACTAATCACTAGAAATGTACAGACTCACAGGTTAAGGCCATTCTCTCCAAAAGGAATGGGCCAGGGATTTAGCTCAGCGGTGCCTTGCCTGGCTGGCAAGTGCAAGGTCCTGAGTTTGATTCCTGGTATCGGGGGGCGCACACAGGATGGGACTGCCTCTACTTTAAATACCAGCCACAAGTTTAGATACTTGTTAGTATAGAATGTGGTCTGTTTTGGAGAAAGTCTCATGTGCTGCTAAGTCCTTTGTTCAAAGGTTTGGTTCAGCTCTGATATTTCTTTTGTTTTTTTGATCTAGTTGATCTTTTGTGACAATAGAGTATTGAGATCCCCCATTACCATTGTATTAGCATTTATCTGACTTTTCATATCCATTAGTCTTTGTTTTATATAGTTGGGTGTGCTGGTATTTGGTGCATATATATTTGTGATTTTTATCTCTTCCTCTGGATTGTTCCCTTAACAAGTATGTAGTGACCTTCTTTGTCTCTTCTGATCAGTCTTGGTTTGAAATCCACTTTGTCTGCAAATAGAATAGCTCCCCCCTGCATTTTTCTGGGTACCTGTTGCATGAAGTATTGCTTTCCATCCTTTGGTTTTCAGTCTATGTGTTTCTTGTGTGCAGCATAGTTTGGATCTCGTTTCTTGTTCCATTCTGCCAATCTGTTTCTTTTGATGGGTGGATTGAGACCATTTACATTGATGGTTATAACTGATAGGTATTGACTTGTCCTTGTCAACATATTGTTTTCCTGTTGTTGATTCCCTTTCCTTCCCTTCTATTAATTCCTTGCCTTGCCTGATGGATTCATTCTATTTGGATTCTTAAAATTGTCGTCTCTTTCTAGAATATCCTTCAGAACTTTTTGGAGTGCTTGTTTGATGGTCATGAATTTCTTAAGGTTTTTTTTATCATAGAGTATCTTTTATTTCAACAATTTTGAAAGATAATTTTACAGGGTACATCAATCTGGGTTGGAGGTTGTTTTCTTTCAGGGCTTGAAATTCTTCACTCGATGCTTTCCTTGACTTAAAAGGTTTCTGTCAGTCTGGTGGGTTTTCCTTTATAGATGATTTGTTTCTTTTATCTAACAGCTTGTAATATTCTGTTCTTGTATTGAATAACTAGAATCTTGACTATTATTATATGTCTGGGTGTAGTTTTTTTCTGATCATGGCTAATTGGAGTTCTATATGCCTCACTTATCGGTATGTCAGATTGTTTTTCCATGTGTGGGAAGTTTTCTGCTATTACTTCTATGAACAGATTTTTTTTTAATGTCATTTATGCTATCTTCTGATTTTTCATTGATTCCAGTTAATCATATGTTCTTCTTTGCATCATCGAGCAACTGTTAGATTGAGTTTTTGTGGTCCTTTACTATTTTTAAGAAATATTTCATTTGATGATCACTAGCCACAACCTTGTCTTCTAGATCAGATATTCTGTCTTCACATTGGTTGATTCTGCTGCATATACTTTCAATACTTTTTTTTGGTACTGAGGATCGAACTCGGGTCTTTGCGCTTGTGTAGCAGGCGGCAAAACCACTGAGCTAAATCCCCAGCCCTTCAATACATTTTAAAAATAAAATTGTATTTTACTTCTGCTGCCATCATTTCATAAAATTCAGCTGGGAGTGTTTTTATTTCTTCCACCTCAGTGCCCCCTTGATTTGCCTTGAGCAGGTTGGGGAGCATAGGTTGCATCTTGGTTCCATGTTTTCTTATTTTCTTTTTTTGTTGTTGTTTATTTGTTTTCTGCATTGAGGCTTGTAAATTGCTCATGGTAGGTAGCTTTATTACTAGTAGTGAGACCTCTTTAGGAAATGACGACTTTTCAGAGATGTCTTAGAGGTGTAGCTGGCTTTTGGCCTCCTGCCTCTTGAATTTATTAGGGATGAATGGTTGGTGCCTGTTTTGCTTAGCACCCAGTTCTTTGGTACTGGACTTTAGTATCGTTTATGACCCCAGACAATCTAGGTATTGGCATACAAGGAAGATGAATTGATCACAGCAACTATGTCACCTTGGCTAAAGTAGTATAATCAGCAATAACAGTAGTGTCAGACTGGAAAATGACAAGCTCTGATAACTAATAATTTTCCACTTTTAACCATATGTATAGGATTTATAGTTATATAACAAAATCTAAAACAAATCAGAAAATTATATACAGCAAATATCCACTCAGTAGAGCAATTTTATCCTAAGGGGAGAAAATTAAAAGGAAGAAGAGGAAAAAAAATAGTGAAATAAAAGAAGAAAAAGAAAAGCAAGGCTGAAGCCAAGTTTAGGGAACTAGTGAAGACAGGAGAGAAGAAAAATATGAATAAACAAGAACAAGGACAAAACAAGACAAAACTACAATGTTCATCTTCACTAAGAAAAACAAATGATCAGAGAAATAAAAAGTAAAAACAGAAAACTAAGTTTCTCTGTGATTTCAAGCCTGTAGTTATCTTCTTAGGTTCTGTAGTTTTGTGGCAGTGTCCATTTCCATTTCAAGGTGTGATTCTGCTTTTGCTTGTAGACAAAGGAGGCAGTCAGAGCACAGATCCTTGCTGGATATTCCCAGCAAGCCTGTAGTGGGATTAGGGTGTGGTGTTGCTTCTGGGACTTTCAAATCCACAGAAGTTCAGGCTGAGCCTAATATCTGGTGGAGGGTTGGGGCCTGAGTCATTTAGTTTATAACACTCTGG